GTGTCAAGTGGAAATTTGGGACATGAGTGGTCGATCCCAAGTAGTTGGGATTAAGGGGAGGAAGAAGAAGAACTTTTGAAAATGTTGCGGAAAGACTGACACTTTTTTATATACCTTAAATTTAAGCTTATGTAATATATTTTAATATGAAAAAAAAATATTGACCTCTGGATTTGTTTTCATGGTGAAAATGACTACCGTATTCAAAAATATGCTATTTTTGTGTTAAAATTCTGGGTTTTGTATTTTATTTTATGTTAAAATACCTGACTAGGGGAGTACACTGATTTTCATAAATATTATCTAAATCAAATTGATATAGACTAGAAAGTTAAACTTATTTAAATTTTTATGCTTTTTTTAAGTAGAGAAAAATAACATTGAAATTCCAGTTTAAATTGCCATTTTTTTAGTCAACAAAAGCGACCTACGGTTGACGAATCGGTAACACTAGTGTTTTACGCGCTTGGGGTACAAGGTTCCAACCCGTGTAAGGCAAGGAATTTTTTGCATTTTTATCTTAATTCTTTTTAAGTTAGAATTTTAAGAAGAAATTTCTTATTCATATTAAAATTATTTTACTATATTTTAAGTTTTAGCTTCGATGCAAAGCTGAAAAGGTATTTTTTTGCGACTATCATTTATTTTTTGTGCTCTAATTTGACCTACTTTTTTCAACGATACGTCAAATGATTACAATTTGTATCTAGTTGAAAATATTACACATAAAAATTGAAAAAAAAAACTCTAATTTATCAATTAAACAATTACTTATCCGACGTTCTACATACAGACAATTAAAATCATTTATAATATTTTCAAAGTATTTATTGACGCATTAAGTTCGATATGATAGGTTTCAAATACAAAATGAAATCATTTTACTTTGTATTTTAATCATTTTTTTTACTGTATTTGTGTGTGCTATTACTATAATATTCCAAATATTTTGGTAACATGTTGCTATATAAATCATTTCTAAAAAAAAAATTATTGTTAATTTCTCCTGAATTAACAATGGATTTTTATATCTTTTTAAAAACTTTTTTTTGATTAGTTATTTTAGTTAAAGTAAATCATTAAAATTAATTAAGTTCATATTTCAATTGTAGAATCTTTTTAAACACCAAAAGTTACTAGGAAATTATTACTATTATTTCTGTTTAAGTTATCTATAACGATAAAAATGCAAAAAAATATTGAGCTTTTCTGATAAATTTATAATAAGTAGTAATTATAAAACTTTCTGACTGCATATTGATCTTAACGATACAATTTTTTTAATTGTCATAAAATTTTCTATTTAATGATGTCAATGTCAAACTTGCCAATTGAGCTAAAAGTTATTTAAAAAAAAAATTTTTTTTTTTACTATAAATTTTAACAAAAATCAACTTAAAAGGATTAAAAAAATTGGATAAATATGTCATTTTCCATATTTATAATCAAAATCAGTATTAATTTAAAACCATTTTTTTTGTTCTTAATTTTTTTTTATTTGTAAATACTTATTTTTTAATAATAAGTAATAATATTTAAACTTAGATGTGATAGAAAAAGCCTAATTTCACATTAGAAAACATCGCAAAAAGTTGATTTAGTAAAGTATATATTTGTTTATGATGAAAGTTCCTTTTAATACAGTGTATTAAACTTATAATTTTGTTATAAATAACAAACATAATTTATTGAAAAGTGTTACAATATTAAACTACTGAATATCAATTTCATACTAAATTTAATTACTATAATTATTATTTTTTTTTAGTTAAAGTAAATCATTAAAATTAATTATGTTCTGAATATTTTAATTGTAGTAATATTTTTAATCACCAAAAATTACTTAGAAATGATTACTATGATATCTTTTTAAGCGTTCTATTACAATAAAAACGAAAAAATAAAAAAAAATTTGACCTACTTTTTTCAACGATACGTCAAATGACTACAACTTGTATCTATTTGAAAAAAATTCTAATTTATCAATTAAACAATTACTTATCCGACGTTCTACATACAGACAATTAAAATCATTTATAATATTTTCAAAGTATTTATTGACGCATTAAGTTCGATATGATAGGTTTCAAATACAAAATGAAATCATTTTACTTTGTATTTTAATCATTTTTTTTACTCTATTTGTGTGTGCTATTACTATAATATTCCAAATATTTTGGTAACATGTTGCCATATAAATCATCCAAGTAGTTAGGATTAAGGGGAGGAAGATGAAGAAGAAGTATACATTTCATCCGTTATTCCAATTAATTGACTAACAGATATTTGGAAGGAGGGAGGGCATCAGCATAACATTGTGTGTTATTAATCGGTTCTCAGTGTTTATTAATCTATTGTGCGGGCAAGATCGATTATTTCGATGATATATCGGATAAATTGAATTTTCTTGTTGAAAACGATCTAACGGATAGAGATTTTAAACTAGTTAATAAATTGATGGTTGAAAAATGATTGAGATTTGCAATATCTTGATCTATTCATCAATGTATAGGATTTCATAAATATTTCGCGTGTCTGAACCAGACGATTCATTTAGGCCAAAGGTCAAGTTGGTAAGCAAACATCAGGAACGTATTATCACTGACAATTTACTACATAGAATGTATTCAATGTGCGGATATATTTTGTCGATAACGAAAAATTTAATCGTAATGCTACTTTTGCAAGATGAATACATTAATGTGAGCCTGTCTCAGAGGAGTCCAACCAGTTGGGTTTTGACGATGGTTTAGACGATGCATTACTGTTTCAGTCAAAACGTGATGACAACCTTGTATTTTCGATGAAAAAAACTGAATTTGCGCAATTGTACTTCATTAAAAATATGCTATACGAGAAAATATATCGACAATTGCTTCATATACATCTGCGTATTGTACATGAAATTATGGTTATACTTCAGACTTCAATTGATTGTTTGGATTTGTTGTAATTTCATCAAATTTGTCATAAGGGGTTTATAGGTACATATCTTGAAAACACCTCGAAAATTATATTCAGCGATTATCCACGCATTAAAATAGTATGTTTAAAAAAATTTGATTTTTTCATCTTAAAACGACGACATTTATCATTTAAATAATCATGATAAGGTGTTATGATTTGTTTGTGCCCGTGCAAGATATTCAGCTGTGTACTACTTCAAACCGGTTATTTTCTATATAAATATAGGTTTTATATGGGTTGATGCGTGTATATAGTATTAGTACAATGTGGTACAAAACAACTAGTTTTTTTATTAAAAAAATTTACGTATATTTAAGTATATACATATAGTAGAGGGTACGGATTTTTACGACCGTAGTATATAGTCTGGAATTGAGTGTATGTGTTGTAAAACGTTGTGTACTTGTTATTGTCGTAGTTTTGGTTCTCGTACAGGTATTCGTCAGATACGCTTTAACGTTTTTGATGAAGAGTGATTGAAATCTTCGAGAACGCGATCGTCCTCATTTATTTTTTATTCCAGTATTACTTAATATATGTCCTAAGAACGGTATTTCCATGCGTATTAACTTTGATTTATTAATATTGATATTCAGTCCATATTTCTTTAATCTTTTTAAAGTATAATCAATACATTCTAAATGTAACTTGAAATCGTTTGCTCGAATAAGTATATCATCTACATAATGTCCAATATTTAAAGCATGATGTTGCGATATAACTATATTCAAAGCCTTTATCAATGCTGCTAGACTATTTTTTAATCCAAATGGAATTACCCTAAAATGGTATGTTATTTCCAGAAATTGAAATGCTGTATAAGGTCGACTGTTTATTTCCAGATGTATTTGTCAAAAACTACTTGACACGGCACCGCCTTTTGCTCTAGGCTGGCGCTCACCTGTGTCTCTCTTGATATCAGCCGTCCAGCTATTAATATGACAATCGGTTGTCTCCCCGCCTTTGACACTGAGATAAGGCCGCCGCCGAATATGGATTACTGATATTGCGTTCTGTTCCGTTACCGACGTATACTTTAACTGGTCGATATTATTGGTTCCGGTTTCTGTTGTCGTTTTATTTCTTTATTCTTTTTTATTAGTGGTAATTGCGATCGCAATTAATCTGCGTGACCTTACGATTCGCAATAAAGATATATATATAAATAATTGTCGTTGGCATAAACTTATATCAATTAATTAATAATTAATTCGTGCGGCTGAACATTACATACACCGTATTAAATATTTAATACTGTTATACATATATATATCTGCGGTAGTGCGCCCGTACCCGTATTGGATTACGTCAAGTGGCTCCCCGAATAATGAATCTAAACCGGCCGAGAGAAGCTAAGGTAAGAGGCTTTGAGCCGATTCAGTTTTATTTCTAATTATATTAGATTTTAGTTTTAACGTGAAACGGTGAAGTCTCCCTACAAATTTAATAGTTCATATAGTTATTTGAACGGATTTCACTGGTGACAGCAGTGAATTTTTACCTGGGTTATTCACAATTACGTGTTAGCGGGATTAGATTTAGCCTGGTCTCTGGGAAAATTTTCTTTTATAAAAATAAAGTCAGAGCAGTTTATCTAATATAATCCGCCGTAAGTATTGTCTTTAAAAGTGTTGGTTACAGTTTGTTATAGAGACCTTATTGATATCGACAAGAAGTGAATTTCCGGCCGATAGTTACAGTCTTTTGGTAGATAAAAATAGGATATTTTCGTCTGACCTTGTCAAAGCGGCCGATTCCCGGGTAACCGTTATTGTTATTGTTCACTCGCTGTCATATCATATACGGCGACCCCGTACCATCTTATCGCGGTACTTTATTACAACAATAGCAATAATAATAACATTTGTTTTCGACAGCAGTAGTAAATTTGACCGTACACGGAGATATTGTTTATCCAGGGCCGCCTTTAAGGCAGGGCACACCGGGCCCGGGCCCAGGGCCTCCTGCAAAAGGGGGGCCTCTTTGTAGACAATTGTTAAGATTTTTTAATATATTTTTTTTAAAAAGAATACTTGAACAAAATGAAATAAATTTATTTTAAACATAAAACTTTACATTAAACATAATACACACACACATATAGATATTCCTTCTACAATTGATTATATACTCCGATTAAACAGTTTTTTACGACATTTTGTAGTCGAAAAGTCGTTAATCAAATCATTAAAATCTATTTCATTTAATAAATTAGATTCCATGCACATGATAGATAAATAGTTTAGCCTGGACTGGGTCATCGAATTTCTTACATCGCTTTTTAAAAATTTCAAATAAGAGAATGAACGCTCGCCAGTACAATTAGTTATCATCAAACTTAAATATATGCGTAAACAAATTTCAATATTAGGAAAAGTAGAACTAATACAATCTTTTTTAATTTTATCAAACAAATCAGGAATTAGTAATACCTCATCATCGTTACAAGTTTCGTTTAAATAATGTTTAAAATGTAAACATTCAGAAATTAAATTTTCCGCTGTGATATCTTTATCATAGATATTTGCCAAGTTTTCACAAGCGTCCTCGATTTGTTTGCTATTGATTTTTTGGAGCGTCGTAAAAAATGTGAAATTTTCATTTAATTTATCATAAACTTCTTGTCTTTTCTTCAAATCAGTACAAACAGAGTCAATAATAGGTAAAAAAATTTTGATTCTTAATTTATCATCGGAATTAAAAAGTTGTTCATTGGAAGGTCCATCGAAATAAGTTAGTCTGGTATTAATTTTTTTTATTCTCTGATTGTACGAATCTTCACTTAATACCGTAAAATTTTTAGCTTTTACTAAAAAATTATTAAACTTATCTCTAGTATCATTCAAATACGAATTTAAAGATGCTAATAGGTGAGTAGCTACTTGTAAATTCATGTTTTTTTTTTGAAAAGTTACATTAACATCGTTTATACGACTCAAAAGATCGTTCCACACAATAGTTAAAAATATATTTTCAAATTTTTTAAATTTTTTAAACAATGACTGCGCTTCGTATTTCGTATCTTTAGCTGTGTTTTGATCTTGTGTTATTTTTTCGAGAACTGTACATATTTTATCATAACCGTTATGCAAGGCAGTTATGGCATCGCAACGAGCTGACCATCGAGTAGTCGAAAGACTTTTTAAGGTTTTATTTTCCGGTCCTAAAGCTGACAAAAGTTGTTGCCATCTATTAGTCGATAATGAAAAAAATGTATACAATTTTTGCACTAAATAAAAGTAAGCTACGACTTCCGGAACACACTCAGCTGCTTTAGTGCCGACTAAATTTAAAGAATGCCCGGCGCAAGGAATGTAAATAGCATATTTGTTAATTTCTCTGATTCTCGCTTGCAAGCCTGAGTATTGTCCTGACATATTCGAGGCATTATCATATGACTGTCCTCTGCAGTCTTGAATATCGACGTTATGTTCATGTAAAAAATTAATTACAACTTCACTTAAATATTCAGACTTGTGTTGCTCAATTGGGATAAATAATAAAAAGCGCTCGATGGGACCTTTATCAGTTGTATAGCGAACTACAAAAACTAACTGATCTGTGTGCGAAACATCGGGCGTAGAATCAACACAAATCGAGTAATATTTCGATTTTTTTAATTCTTTGATAATATAAAAAAATATTTGTTTCCCCATTAATTCAATAAATTCTTCGCAAATATTCGCAGATAAGTATGATGTTATTCCGTGCCCTTTATTTCCGTAAGTCTTAATATGATCTTTTAAAAAACTATCGTATTCGCTTAAAAGTTCTAAAATTCCTAAGTAATTTCCATTTTGCGTTGACCCAAATATTTGATTACTGCCTCGAAAAGCTAGACCTCTAGAAGCAAGAAACTTAATAACATCAGTGATTCTACGAAGAACTTGTGTCCAGTAATTTTTTTCATTGTTTAATTGAAGCGTCATTTGTGTATTTATCAAATTTAAGTTTTTTCTTCTTTTAGAGTACGTTATCAAAGAAGCCTTATGAGATCGACTCTCTTCGTGGTCTACAATACGCTCTGGATGCTTCCAGTCACGAAATCCAAAAAGCGCGAATTGATTTCGTTCATTTGAAAATAAGCGGCAAATAAAACAATAAATATTACCGGTCGATGTAGAATAAGAAAGCCAGTCTCGTTCTACAGTTTCTCCGTTGTGCAAATTGCGATAAAAAAGAGATGAATGAAAAAATCTTATTTTCTGTTTCTCACTTTCGTCATAAATTCTAGCTGATTTTGTATATTCAACATTCTTATTATGAAAAAAAGATGGATCTTTTTGCAAGCAATAGTTTCGTAAATCTTCGTTGATATCTTTCCAGGATGCTAAGTCTGTTGAATATTTTGTAATTGTATTGAGATTTTCAGAATCATCTATTGGTATGAAACAAAAAAATTTTAATAATAAATAAATTAATAATAAACATTTTAATAAAAATTTAAATTTAAATAAAAATATTATATATAATAGTCGAAAAAATGAAATAAATAATTTTAAAAATAAATACATATTGAGTAAGTCCAAAATTTTTTAACAAAAAAATAATTTAGTAAAAACAAAATGTACCTGTACACTTATGATTTAAAATCTCTGAATTCTCGGGCAAAGGAAGCAATGTTTTATCATTGGATTCCGAATGTTCTGTCTCGTCAATTGGCCCAAGCTCATTAGATACGCTTGCAGCAATATCTATGAAGAAATTCCGGCAATAATTATATCAATATATTTAAAAAAACTTTCCACTTATCAGTTTTACCTGCTTCTTGAACACTTTGAACATTAATAAAATTAGTTATCTTCGGCAACTTTGAAGTTTGAATTTTACCTTCTTTAGCTTTTTTTCTTTTTGCTGCCCCGCTAGAGTGAATTCGATGCATTTTAATATTTAAAATCAACAAACACAAACACGAATCATTAAACTAAAAAAAATATCTCGTAGCTTTAACGGCGCGTAGCTTACAACACGTTGTTGCCGTAGAACATGTATAAACATGTTTACCAGCAGTCCGCATTGTTATTGGAAAAACCGATAGTCCCTGCGCGTACGTGTCAAAATAAAATTCTTGGCGCCAAGCTAATTGCGCGTAAATCTAAAAATATACTTACTTATAGTATGTAGATACACAAATACGCGTATATATATATTTTTATATACAAATATATATCTTGTATTTATTAAAAAATACTTACCGTCTATTATAGTGAGTGGTGAAAAATTCTAGATACACAAAAATGCGGCAATTCAGCTATAACTTATTTTAAAGAAAAATTATAACGGTCAATATTACTGGTTTTTAAACAATTTCAAGATTTTTCGTCTCCTTAAATGGGCCTCCAATCTAAGTAGGCCCAGGGCCTCCAAGTAATGAAAGACGGCCCTGTGTTTATCTACGCTATTATAGTAACATAGGTTTGATTATTTAGTTTTGTAAACAAACATAATATTCACGGTCAATATGTCGGGGAAAACATTAGCACAAATGAATTGCGCTGAATTACGTCGCGAATGCGCTTTTAGACAGCTACCATGTTACGCGACGAAACCCAACATGCTAGTGATGCTGGAGGAAAACATACGTAGCGAAGGGAGGAATCCAGCTACGGAAATTTTACCGCCCCGTACACCGCTCGATAGCGAAATTCCGGTCCGCGAACCCGAAGTGGGGGTTATAGACAACTCCACGAACCGTATCTGTGAACCCGACGCGAACAATCAGCGGCCCGGCGTAGCACCTTTACCGGAGGACACATCCGGTGAACCTCACGCTACACACATCAGACGACGAGTCTGATGTCGAGCAACCGGGGGAAATTACACACGCAAGCGGTCAACTAGGCGTGCCATACGTTGAAGACATATACGTTGCCCGCTCGATAGCGCACGCGGCAGAACAAGTCGGGGCGATCCGACAGAACATTCGCGACATTTCGAATAACGCACGGATCGAGGCACGGATGACTGAATTAGAAAGGTCGCTCTCGCGTATGTCAATGGAAAAGCGACAGATTTCAAACATGCTGGAACGTATCAGTCAAAATATGCTGCCGTCCCCACACGTTGATGCACAACCGACTATTCGTCAAGTTAACGTCGAACGAAACGATAGTTGACGCGCAACGCGTTACATTGGGTCCATCGGGAGCGACGGACCCGACGCGACGCGACACGACGCAACATTACACGAGCGCCTCGCGGACATCGAAGCGCAAGAAGCCCGCAACATGAGACGGTCGTACGGACAAGCGTCGCGCACGTCGCTACCACAGATGTGTAGCACGGGTTGGCAAGACGAACATATTCCGCGCACTCATACATATGAGAACGAGCCGACCGATTTTTTGTTTACGCGCCAATCACGGGAGGGGCAATTCAACACAACCGACGGTCGTCGGTCTTTTAATGATTTGTCGCCTACCCGCAGCTCACGGTCTGTATTGGTACCTTACGACGACCTACGCACCGTACGCGCCTGCTTACCTGAATATTACGGGAGAAATGAAGAGGACCCACGGGAGTTTCTGGACAGAGCGGAGGATCTACTCTGTCAGGGCGGTATACACCCAACAGCATGGGTGAATATCGTCGTCCCGTTTTTGAACGACAGGGCAGGTGATTGGTGGCGAGCGATTAAATTAAATAATATGCCATGGGCGGAATTTAGGTCTAAATTATTTGAGGAGTTCGACAATATCGATATCCGGAAGGCGCTCGAGACGGACTTAATTACGACGCGACAGGGCCCCCGACAAACGTTAACCGAATTTATTATTCATAAACAATGTTTGGCCGCGCGAGTAAGTTGTGGTTTACCGGAGTAACAACTTTTGCGATAGTTAACGGGGCTTTTACGCGATGATTACCGCGCTACGATACGGTTAATGCACCCAGCGTCTTTCGCCGATCTACGTGAGATAGCGCACAACGTAGATAAGACCGCGGCTCTTCGGTACGCTCCGCCTCCGCGGCATACCACGCAACCAGCGGCCCGACAGCGAGCGAGTTATGCGAACGCGGACGCACCGCCAACCCCGTGCCGATATTGCGGCGAACGACACTGGCACCGCCAGTGCACAAACAGGCCGTCGGTATCTAGAAACAGCAATCGGCTTGGGGGGAATTAGTCTGCTCCCCCAGCCTACAACAGATCCAAACAAGGTGTAGCGTTAAGCGACGTTTCATTTAAAACGCGCCATGCAGTTACGCAAGTTTTATCCGGTGAAAATATATCACGCAGAACACCGAATCTAACGGCCCTTACGATTTACATACCGTCGACGATCTTGGTACTTTTTCGGCACCGCACCCCTCTTATCGGAATGAAGGGTACGCCGCGGTAAATTCGGATGTAATCATGGTATCGGAGTTCGAACACACTGCCGACACGAACGACAAAAGTGCAAGTCNAACACGCTGCCGACACGAACGAACAAAGCGCGAGTCAGGTGTTCGAAATTTTTTCGGGCACAGTGGGGGAGGGGGTGTCAGTCGATCCGGCTAGTCCACTAATGGCAGTTAACACTGTCGGTGGGCAAACCGACGTCGCGGTTAAGAACCAGCTGCCCCCCGTTCGAACCGTAAACCACCTGAGTAATGGCCAACGAAAATGCCCGCGTAGAATTACTACTCCAGCAGTCGAGTTAGAATTCGAAACTGGCTTCGTCACAGCCCTACTCGACTCACAGGCGCATAAATCGTATGTAAAACCGGTAATTGCTTATAAATACGGAACTGTTTATAAAGGACATACCGACGCGGTTAGATTAACGGACGGATATACTGCCACGACGAACGGTACCGCCACGTTTACCGCCAAAATCGCGGATCTAGAAGTGCGTTTTTTAGCGGTTATTTTAGACGACCTATATTGCGACGTATTACTTGGCCATGATTTTCTGATTGATCAGAAAGTCGCCTGGGACTACTCAGCAGGAACAATACACTTAGGCAATAGGAAACGTACAACCGCTTGTTGGAAATCGGGCGCACGACACACGATCCGCAAACCAGATCTGACGCAGTTAGATATAACCGGCGACCCACGAACGCGCGCGTTATTAACACAGACGATATGTAATTACGCAGCGGTCTTTAACGACACGGTGGGTCGCACAAAATTAATCGAGCACGATATTCTATTGAAAGACCCTACTCCTATCGCACTAAAACCTTACCCCTACCCCTTGCAAATGCAGGAGGTTATTGACGATATGGTAAACGACATGTAGGCGCAGGGACTAATAGAACCGAGTGTATTGCCGTAGTCAGCACCGATAGTGCTGACGNTGCTTATAAATACGGAACTGTTTATAAAGGACACACTGACGCGGTTAGACTAGCGGACGGACATACCGCCACGACGAACGGTACCGCCACGTTTACCGCCAAAATCGCGGATTTAGAAGTGCGTTTTTCAGCGGTTATTTTAGACGACCTATATTGCGACGTATTACTTGGCCATGATTTTCTGATTGATCAGAAAGTCGCCTGGGACTACTCAGCAGGAACAATACATTTAGGCACTAGGAAACGTACAACCGCTTGTTGGAAATCAGGCGCACGACACACGATCCGCAAACCAGATCTGACGCAGTTAGATATAACCGGCGACCCACGAACGCGCGCGTTATTAACACAGACGATATGTAATTACGCAGCGGTCTTTTACGACACGGTGGGTCGCACAAAATTAATCGAGCACGATATTCTATTGAAAGACCCGACTCCTATCGCACTAAAACCGTACCCCTACCCTCTGCACAAGCAGGAGGTTATTGACGATATGGTAAACGACATGGAGGCGCAGGGGCTAATAGAACCGAGTGTATCGCCGTGGTCAGCACCGATAGTGCTGACCAAGAAGAAGGACGGGACTTTTCGTTTATGTATAGATTACCGACAACTAAACGAAGTAACCGTTTCGGACGCGTACCCCATGCCTAATCTAAACGACATGGTTAGGAACATGAGAGGGGCAAAAATGTACACGACTCTCGACTTAAAGTCGGGTTATTGGCAATGCTCTTTAAATCAAAAAGCCCGTAAGTTTACGGCATTTAGAACAAGAAGGGGCTTGTTTCAATTTCGTGTAATACCGTTTGGACTCAAAAATTCGCCTATGATTTTTGTAAGACTTATGAATGAAGTATTTAGAGGATAACTAGATGATTTTGTCCTAAACTGCCTGCATCGTGAACTGGAATAAATGCAAGAAAATCTTCCCTATTTTCATTAGTGTTTCGTCAAAATATCTTATGCATAATGAAAACTGCTTTATATGAGTTATATCTGTGGTTCATCTGCAAGAACTGTATAGAATTCTGATTTTGAAATTATATTTACAAAATTAGATTGATTGAGTTCACCAAATATAGCTATAATTTCATTTTGTATAATAGGACTAGTATACAACTCTCTGGAACTAAAGTTTCTAAATGTTCTTTTAAAATAGTATTACCACTATTAGTACGGTATCTTAATAGACTTCAAAAATTACCATTATTTTTTTCAGGTTCATTTATTTTTATACGACCCCAATTTTTATGTCCTCTCAAAGCTATTTCCCACGAAGCCTAATTGTCTGGATTATTGGTTTTAATTTNCTATTGAAAGACCCTACTCCTATCGCACTAAAACCTTACCCCTACCCCTTGCAAATGCAGGAGGTTATTGACGATATGGTAAATTTCATTCACGATTCATTAAAATATCCTTATCTCATTGTGTATTTAACTGTATTATTATATTGTCTTTTTTTTTTATCAAAAATTGAAATAAGATTTTCAGCAGTTTGAAAAGCACTCTGGTGGTAGGCAGTTTTATTATGGTTTCGAAAAGTTTCAAGGGCATTTTTTAAATTGGTATGAGGTTTTACAACCAGTAACCAACAGAATTATTAGAACCTTTACCAACATTATGAGAGCGCAAAAATAGTACACAAAACTTACAGAAACAACCTTCTTTAATTTTTAAATAAGCCAGCCACTGAAATGTGTCAAGCCACTTCAACTGGAATGATCGTTTAAATTTATTATTATCTGTAATGGGAAAATTAAATTTTGCTTCTGGAATTCATAAATGGCGTAAAATATCAATTTTTTCTTCATCACTTACATTTGATGTAGATTTTACATATAAACCAATATCATATTTCGAGTGACTGGATGGTTGAGTTAAATGGTTACCTTCATTAAAAATATAAATTAATAATAACTTGTGTCCCACTGGAATAACTACTAAAACATATTAAACATTTTTACCTGTTATTTTTGTTTCATTTGATCTAGATAACTGGTTAGAAGAGCTGGACAAACTCAAATTATTATCAACGACAAGGCTATCTATATCCATCTATTTATTTTAAAAATAAATTAAATTTAAAACATTTTCAATTATTTATTTAACGTAGACAACTAGTTACAGAATTTTCACTTTAAATTAAGGTAGAAGTATAAAATATAAAAATATAAAAATATCCTTAAAAATTTAATTTTTTATTTTTGTTTATTCTCTTTCCGGTACACCACAACTCCATTATCATCAGTCTATGTTGTTTAGTTACTCTCTCGCCTGGTATGTTACTCTATTATGTTCTTCCCTTTTTCTAAAATAAGTATTAACCACAGCAAGATCATAAGATACAACGAAATCCAGTATTCTTTCTCCAGCCACATTCTTCCCACTAAAACCATACCCTCTATGTACTCTTTCATATCCTCTCATCTCATTACCTACATGGCCATTCATATCTCCATCTATCACCACATCCTCATTGCCAGGTACCCCTTGTGTTTGCATAGGCACTTATTACATTTAGCACTTTTTCTTCGAATATCAATTTTACGACCATAATTCTGTCACTTTTCCTAGCTACTTTTCATCTCCTCATCCATTATTAAAACTTCTACTAATTCTCTACTTCTACCAGTTACTGTTCCAGCATTCCAAGCATCTATTCTTACATTGTATCTATCTTTCTCCCTTATACTCGAGTCTAGCCTAGAGTTAAGTGGTGATGTTCCCACACCGTTGACACTACAAGCGTTGGGTAGACCTGTACACATGACTGGTGAAACAGCTACCTTACAAGTTGTCCGGCTGGTATCAAAAACTTTATTCCTTAGGCCTTCTTCGTTTTTAACTACTTTCTGTTGTCTCCGCGTACATCCGAGATGGGACAATCCGCCCAAGTTTTGCTCAGGATTCCTCATACTTTTTGACAAAGATTTTTAAGCCGGCAGTCTACCTGACGTAACCTCATTTGTCACCTCTTACGACTGGCAGAGGGGCCGTAGAAGTATTCTTACCCCCTATTCACTGGGAAGGAACATTTTCCAAATTAAAGTTGACAAAGTTAATTTTTTGTGAACAAGTTACCATTTTGAAACCCTTTCTGTAGACAGGTAATCTCTTCCTATCCCCTATCCACGGGGAAGAATAAATACTAATTATATTATATAAAATTAGTATGAAATTGATATTCAATAATTTAATATTATAATATATACGGAAAAATAATAAAGTAGTTGTATATTTCTTTATTTTTAACGTGTACAAAATTTAAAGGACTTTATGCAATGCTATTCAAAAAAAAATTATAAAATAAAAAAACCAATACACAAAACTACAAGGAACTTTTATCAGAATCAAAAAAATGCTTTAAAAATACTTTTCGCACTGATTGAAAATCTGTAATTAGACTTTTCCTATCACTTATAATTTTTGTTATTATTACTAATTATATTTAAAATAATAATTAAAACAAAAATAAATTTGTTTTCAAATTATTCCTAATTTTTAATATTTTAGAAATATTTTATTCAAAATGTCATTTTTAACCTATTATTTTGGTTCTTGAGTTGATGAAAAAGTTTTGTGAAAGTTTATAGTAAAGAAAAGTTGAATTTGTTACCATAACTTTTGGCTCAACTTGACATCTGTAGCTATTTTAAAAAACCCAACCAAAATAAAAAGGGGAACAAAACTCTGCTGTACAGCTTAGAATATGGGCATCTAATAATAAAAAAAACCATTTCTAATCAATTTAAAATTGTTAAAAAAAATTTATTTTTGTTAAGAAGAAATAAGTCTGTTCAGACCAATCAATACTACTAAATAATTAAATACCAATAACCGATTTTCATTACTGAATTTTAAATTATTAAATTTAATCATATATATTACAAACATTTAGTTTTGCAAAAGTGCATAATATGAAAGGACAAATGTTCCATATGAACAAAATCATCTGTTATTCCATTATTAATTTACTCAAGTTTACTACATTTTAACAAGTTCATTATACTATTTCAAAAATGAAATACAAATTAAACTATAAAATAACGGCTTCAAACAATTATAATAAAGATATTCTAATTACAGATGTAATCAAAGTTTGGGATAGTTTGTCAAGATGGATAGAAAAAAATTTAAATAGAGACAATGTGAAGTATTTAAAATAATTTAAACTTAAACGGCTTATATTTCAAAACTCATAAGTCACAAATTGCGATTAATGATATGTAAAAAAGTGTCATCTGTCATATACCCAAAAATGTTGTATTTATACAGAATGATCTTTTGATCGTAAATACTCTATTACTAGCAATATAAAGACAATATTTTAAAAAAATTATGGTGGAATAGTGCGGCTGAAAAATGACTAATAATATACACGCGCCTTTCCTCATTTTATACTTTAAAATCGTCATAATCCCAGAAATACTGATTCAAAAGTTGTATTATCGACCCGTCATTTTCATAATTAGATAAATTTCTATTTTATAGATTTTTAATAATCTATTTTATTTTATAGAATTTCTATTTTCTATATAACTATGAATTCTAGATAAATATCTAAAATGAAAGTTGATACCCTATGAATTATAAGGGATCCTTAAACATTTATCATAGGTGATTCTATAGAATAAAATTTACTTGGCATACGTATCAGAGTATAAATCCTTAAATCTCCCATTGATTCGCAACTTGTTTGAAAAATCAATAGTTAAAAAACCAAGAAATATATGTAATAAAAAAAAAAAATCAGCACAGTGGGGTCGTAGCATAGGTGGGTCTAGTATAGATGATATCTGACAGTGATTAAAATCACTATCATAAAAAACGCTTCGATGCAAATCTGTAGATAGTGTTTAATTTAAAAAAAAAAATTTTGTTAAAATAGCATATTTTTGAATACGGTAGCCATTTGAGCATAGAAGATAGGTCGTCGGGACAAATTTTTTTTTTTTATTTTATAGCACATAAAATAAGCTTTAATTTGATATATGTTTAAAGGACGCAGTATTTTCGGAACATTTTCAAAAATTAAATTGAAAAAGTTAGTTATTGTAAAAAAATTGCTATTTTAAATCCCCCCCCCATGAGCAGGTTAAGTGTTAGATTTTCAAAAAAAATTATATCAAATGAAAGGGAAATATCTAAGGTTTCAATACAAGAAAATATTATTTTTATTTGTTAATTTTTGAAAAAGTTATGACAGTTTTAAGCACAAAAAACATCCCGATAAAAGATGATTTTTATCGCAAACATTACATTTTTTTTTAATTTTCGACAGCCATTTGCACATAGAAGATAAGTTGTCGGGACAAATTTTTTTTTTTCATTTTATAGTAAATAAAATAAGCTTTAATTTGATATATGTTTAAAGGACACTGTATTCNGAAGATAAGTTGTCGGGACAAATTTTTTTTTTTCATTTTATAGTAAATAAAATAAGCTTTAATTTGATATATGTTTAAAGGACGCAGTATTTCCGGAACATTTTCAAAAGTTCAGTTGAAAAAGTTCTATTTTTTATACAATGTTTCAAAGTTTGAACCCCCCCTATATAAGGGGAAATTGTCTAATTTTAATAAAAAGTATGTCAAATGGAAGATGTACTTATAATGTATTTAAAAAAAAAAAAATTGTGCTGATACATGCATTTTTCGAAAAGTTATAGCATTTTTAAGTTGAAAATTAAAAATCGAAAATCGAAAATTTTAACACAAAAATAGTGTTTTTTTAACTACGGCAACCGTTTACATGCAGAAGATAAAGTGTCGGGACAAATTTTTTTTTTTTATTTTATAGCACATAAAATAAGCTTTAATTTGATATATGTTTAAAGGACGCAGTATTTTCGGAACATTTTCAAAAATTAAATTGAAAAAGTTAGTTATTGTAAAAAAATTGCTATTTTAAATCCCCCCCCCATGAGCAGGTTAAGTGTTAGATTTTCAAAAAAAATTATATCAAATGAAAGAGAAATTTCTAAGATTTCAATACAAAAAAATATTATTTTTATTTGTTCATTTTTGAAAAAGTTATGGAAGTTTTAAGGAAAAAAAGGGAAAAAAATGACAAAATTTTCCGATTTTTAAATTTGTAATTTTTTTGGATATTTCCCCCATTTTCGGGATACGAGGGAATTTTTTTCAATTTTAAGGGTAATGTCTCCAACTAGATACAATTTGTGATCTTTTGACGTATCGTTGAAAGAAATCAGTTCATTGAGAGCTGAGAAAAAGTGGAAACAGACATAACAAAAAAAAAAACACATCATAGTAAAATTAATACTTTCTCAGCTTTGCATCGAAGCTAAAATTCAATATTGTATTTATTTTGTGAATAAACAATGTATATTATACATGCACAATTTACTTGCGGTCGGCCACCCTTATCCTAAACTTTCACTTGGCCTAAATAACTGTTGATACACTTAGCACTTTACTGTAGTAAGCGAAAACATTTTTTGTTATTGAGTATTTATTAAACAATACGCCCAATTCGACACTGTAAAGCGGAACATACGTTTTACTCGTTCAACAAATAAATCGCAACTATATAAATATAATAATAATATTAATATATTTACTGATACGTATTTATATTTTAGGGTATTCTAATGAAAGGAATCGGATACTTAACTATAGCTCAATGGGAGATAAATATTGGTAAAGGATATCCATTTACCATTAGAAAGCCTGTATTTGTTGTTGATGAAAAATTAACGAAAGATTATTGTTTAAAACGGAAACGACCTTACAATTCGGGGAAGGTAATGCTTAATTAAGAGTCTGTCAATGAAACGAGATAATTTAATTAATGTAATTTACATAATTAATAATATAAGACACATTACACAGTTCAATAGAAAAAACCCAGAAGAGAAGTCGCCTTATAGTAGGTAAAAATATAGATAATATATGATGTTGATAATAATACTTTAATACTTTAAAAAAAATCACTTCCATGAGATTCAGGATAATTTGCATACTTGTAACTTAAAAATGTTTTTGTTTTCAAATTTCACTCAAATATTAAATTATTTGCTTAGTTAAAAATAATGTATTTTAGCTTTGATGAGAATCTAATAAAGTGTTAATTTAACACCTTAAAAACTTGTGTATTTTAGAATCGATGCAAAGCCGAGAAAGATATAAATTTCTTTCAATGGTATATCAAACGATTATAAATTATATTTAGTCATAGATTAGAAATTCCCTCGTTCTCCGTAAATGGGGGAATTCCCCAAAAAAATAATAATTTTCAATATTTTTTTTAACCTTCTTTTTTCTTAAAACTGCCATAAGTTTTTTAATAATGAACAAATCAACATAATTTTTTTAATAGATACAATAACTATTTATCTACCATTTAGTATATTTTCTGTGAAAATTTACCTTTTATATTCCCAAAGGGAAGTTTTAAAATGGCAACTTTACACCTTAACTTTTGAAAATGTTCCGGAAATACTGACACTTTTATATACATCTTAAATTAAATTTTATGTAATATACTTTTATATAAAAAAAAAAATCCAACACCGTGGGGTCGCGGCACACTAGGGACGTGGCATAGTTGAGTCCAGTATAGATTTAATCTGACAGTGATTAAAATTACTATCATAAAAAAAAACACTATTTTAAAGCACATCGAACTAAAAATTTAAAAATAATTTTTAAAATAAGCTTAAAACAATAATGAACGAAAAATACTAGTATTATTGTGATAAAAGCTTGGGTGCTTTGTGCCATATTTTTCGTATATTTTTAACCACTGTTTTTACATCTTTAGGCACCATAAGAACGTTTCACAAGATTTCGTTACTATTAACTGCAAAATTATTTTTACAATTATAATTGTAATAACTTGATAATTATTAAAGTATTATAAATAAAATGTAACCGTATTATCCATTAAAGTTTCTATAAATTCTACACAATCTCGTTGTTAATTTACACAAGAAGTCATGTTGTTTATTGTCATTAACATATTTTCTTATTTTAAATGTAGCAGTCACTTTATTTGCTTCATAGCTAATAAGCTGTTGGACACTTATAGACACTTTAGATATTTACCTATCATTTAAAATATTTTTTTATAAATATTAAAATACGTTTGAACTACAAAATTAAATAATTTTACTATTACCAGTTTATAATATTCCACATTTTGGTAATATGTTAATATTTAATATGGTAAAACGTTTTTACAATTATAAATTTTATTATACGCTCAATTTAGTAGATTTTTTTAATAATATTTTGATTAGTTTCTTTAGTTAAAGTAAATCATTAAAATAAATTATGTTCTGAATATTTCATTGGTAAAATCTTTTTAAAAACCAAAATTTAATTAGAAATGATAACTATAATTTCTATTTAAGTTATCTATTACGATAAAAATGCAAAAAATCGAGCTTTTCTGATAAATTATAGTAAATAGTAATTATAAAATTTCCTGACTAAATATTAATTTTAACAATAATATTTTTTTTAATTTTCATAAAATAGCTAATAAGCTGTTATTCCAATTTTTCTCCAATATCACGTTTATGAATCGCAATTATATATAGTTTGAATAACAGAGCACGCATAGCATATTTTCAAAGCAACTGGCTTGCTTTAAAAGTCAATTTTTTTTTTAAAAATTAAGATTTTAGTGACAAAATATTTGATATATCAAAATATATTTTTGAGACTGACCTAAGTAGTAGAAACAGTAGGTTATTTTAATGTAATAGTCCTCGAAGGTTATGGTGTATTATAAAATAAAAAGGCGTTTTGAAATTTCAAATAAGATTTTCTCAGTTTTTAAAAAAATTATTTTCTTTATTTTTTTTTGTGTATTTCAGATATTATTAGTATTGTTAGCTAATTTTTGGGTATAAATTATCTTAAAAAAATTTATAGTAACATAATTTGATATATATTAATAGTATTGTGATATTTTACAACTGTAGATTCATCAACATAAATTAAATCTATTATCAGTTTCTAAAGATTATGGATTAGATGTTAATATGGTCACTCATTGTTATAAAGAAGTGATAACAGCGTTTAGAAAGTTATTGTATGAAGAGAAAAACTGTGAACTTCCTTTTCCTAGAATTGGGAAGTTACAAGTAAAAAACAAAAAGATCACTATGAAGTTTTATCTAGAATTTTTGGAAAAACAAAATGAAAATTTAATTAATAGCACAGAAGCAAAAAAAAAAAAGTATTATGAAACCTGTTATCATCCTCGTCGGGACCAAAAACGATATAAACTAAATAATAGTGTAGGTTTTTTTATGAATTTTTTTTTTTAATTAACAAAATTTACGAATTTATTTTAGGAAAGACCTTATACAGGAAATTCCATTATTTCAAGGCCAGCTTCGTCGTTATCACAGTATAAACCGGGATCTGGCTATGAACGTGTACTACCAATACTTAATGCAAATTCAATCAGACCTAGCTCAAGACAATCAGTAGAGTCGTTTGGAAGAATCAGCAGACCTTCCTCTCGGCTTTCAATATATTCTCGCGAGTCGAATAGATCTCTATCAAGATTAACTACTTACGAAGGAGAACAAAAAAAGCCTTTATCTAGATCATCTATTCGATCCAACCAAACGAATATGAAACATAGACCCTCGTCTCAAAATTCTAATAATTCGTATAGATTATTAAGACAGGAAACTTGTAGACCTTCTATTGATTTGGATAAGCAGTCTATTAATAAAAAGCCTAGTATTGATGTATCATCAGAGAAATCTACTCTACCCAATTGTTCAAATGATATGGACAAAAAAGATTTACCTAATCAAAAATATTTAGAAAATATTGACGACAACTACCTAAACTTTACAGAGAGAGTAGCTGGTTAGTAAAAATTGTCAACCCAAAATATTAATTATACGATCTATAACTTTCATATGACAATATATATTTTATTTAGCATACAGTACACCCAAAGAAAAACCTCAATCAATTTTGATAGAGAAATTTTATCGAGGGTTTATGATAATGTTTTATTAATAGGAACAAAATAATTATTCTTATGAATAATTATTGTTCAAGATAAGAAAAAAAATCATATTGATAAATATATCATAGATTCAATAGTAATGATATATTTATCAAATTGAACAATGAATTTATTATATAGATCGAGGTTTTTCTCTGGGTGTACAGGACAAAAATTTATATACACATATGGAAATGTTAATTTAGATTTTTTGTATTTACTTTTAGCTTCGATGCGAATCTGAGAATGTATTAATTTTACTATGATNTTAATTTAGATTTTTTGTATTTACTTTTAGCTTCGATGCGAATCTGAGAATGTATTAATTTTACTATGATGTGTTTTTTTTTTGTGTATGTTACCACTTTTTCTCAGCTCTCACCGAATCGATTTCTTTCAACAATATGTTAATAAAAAATTACAAATCGTATCTAGTCGAAGAAATTAACCTCGAAAATTGAAATAATTTCCCTCGTTACCAGTAAATAGGGGATATCTCCAAAAAAATTACAAATTTAAAAATTGCTAATTTTTTCAATTTTTTTACTTAAAACTACATAACTCTTTCCAAAATGACCAAATCAATGTAATTTTTATTTATAGATGCATGATGTCTTTACCTATCAATGATATATTTTTTTTATAAATCTGACCCTTTACCTGATCACAGGAAGGGATTAAAAAATAACAACTTTTTTATAAAAAATTAACTCTTGAAAGTAACACTTTTATATATATCTTAAATTAATCTTTATGTAATATTCTTTATTATGGAAAAAAAAATTTCGGATTTTATTATGTCTTCACGGTGAAAATGTATACTGTGTGCTATTTTTGTTTTAAAATTCTCGATTTTACATCTTATATTTTTAACTTTATAATACTATAACTTTTCGAAAATTGTATAGATCATTATAATTTGTTTAAGATAAGTACTATTTATATTTTTCGTTTATGTGACATACTTTTTTTTTGAATAGGACCATAACCCTTTATACAGGGGAGAGGGTTCAAAACTTAAAAATGCATATAGAAAAAAGAAATTAATTTTTGAATGTGTTTCGAAAACAACGACACTTTTATATATATATATATATATATTAAATTAAAGCTTATAATATTTACGTTATATCTGAAACTATATTTTTAGAAAACCTAGCTTTTCTTAACCTATTTCAAATAAATACAATACCCAATTGCTATGGTTCAATACTTAATCTTATTTTATCCAATTCCAATTCTCATGTTATATCTTTAAATACGGATGCTATAGTTCCTGTAGATAATTATCATCCTCCTATTAATGTTAGTTACACTCAGCCAAACTCACACTCTACCCTATCTTTTGTCAAGGAAATATACGACTGGCATAGAGATGATTATTATAATATTTAATTTTTCCTAGATTCAAACAACTGGATTGAGTTTTTCAAATCCAGTAATAATATTTCAGTAATTACAGAGAACTTTTATTCGCTCCTATTTTATGCTATAGATTCTTTTATTCCTAAGAAAAAATATTTCAAATCTAAATTTCTCTGTTGGTTTTCTAAAAACTCAATAAAACTTATCAAACTAAAAAAAAAACCAACATGCTATTTTTAAATTGTCTAACTCGCACTATAATTATTTAAAATTCTCTCCATACGTGCCCAATGTAAAATTTTAAGCAGACTTGATTACTCCCGATATTTAAACCATATTCAAAAATCTTTTAAATACCATCCTAAGAAATTTTGATCTTTCATTAATAACCTTAAAAAGTGACCCGGTCAGCCTAACTCAATGTCTTTTAACCAAACTAAAGCTGAAAATGGCCAAGATATATTTAGTCAGTACTTTTCTTCAGTCTATAAAGATATAGCTTCAACTAATATTAACATTCAATCTAATAAAATTCAGTCTATTAATTCGTTAAATATACTATCAATTGAACTCCTTGACGTATTCAATGAACTAGATACTCTTTCGCATAAAAATGCTATTGGTCCTGATGGACTCTATCCTATATTTTTATTTAACTGCAGATTCATGCTCTCTCCACCTATTACAAATCTATTCAATATTTCTTTTAACAGCGACTCATGTCCAGCACTTTGGAAATCTACATATATCAATCCAATTCTCATAAAAGAAAATAATTCATTAATTTCAAATTATCGACCCATATCAATAATTTCAATCATACCAAAAATATTTTCCAAAATAATAAATAATAAGCTTACACCAATGTTTAAAAATATTCTGATATCTCAATAACATGGATTTAGAAATAATAAATCATCATCTCTTACTAATTTAATAACTATAAAACATCATATAATAAAATCATCAAACTGATGTTGTTTATACTGATTTTGAAAAAGCCTTTGTTAGAGTTAACTACGTTTTATTAATTAATAAATTACATAAAATAGGATTTGCTGAATCCCTTCGATCATGGTTTAACTCTTTCTTAGGTCATCGAATCCAATTTGTTAAATATAAAAAATTTATATCAACGTTTAGAAAAGTAATTTCTGGAATACCACAAGGTGATCATCTTTCCCCTCTCCTATTTAATATATTTATAAATGATGTTGTATCCTCCATCACACACTCCAACATCCTATTATTTGCTAATGATGCTAAAATCTATTATTTCCATTGATGGATATCAAACAACTTCAAGATGATTCAGTTGCATTTAACGAGTGGTGCATTTCAAATGGCCTTTCACTGAACATAGATAAATGTCAAATTGTTACTTACTCCAAAAAGACAATCCCCTTCATTTTAACTAGAATTTAAGTGACATTAACCTACGTTCCTCATTAATTAAAGATTTAGGAATCTTATTTGATTCCAAACTGTTATTTAACGCCCACGTAAACGCGATTAAAAATAAAGCTTTAGCAGTATTTGGAATGATAAAAAGAAACTGTTCCAATTTTCATGATCTACTTGCTTTTAAATGTCTCTATACCTCTCTACTACGTTCTTTATTAGAATACCTTTCATTTGGGACATAACAATGCAGGACAAAATGATCAATTGGGGAAAGAGTGCAAAATAATGTCCTAAGATATGTTATAAATGTAATATCCCATGAACTCCTCACTCTGGGTACGAACAAATTTTAAATTTGTTAAACTTAGATACTTTAAAATCTTGTAGAAACATATCATATAAAATCGTTCTTCCAAATTATTAAATTTTTTTTTTTTAAAAATATGATTGACGACTCATAGATATTTGGCCAAATTTACTTTAAAATTAATAACTATTGCACTTGAAACAATGACTTATTTTATAAACCTCACACAACCAAAAACTATTCGTAAAAAAATACCAAATAAATATATTAATGTCCGTAAGAAATAGTCAATAATTTCCTTTATTATTATTTTCATTGTATTATGTTATATTATATAATTGATAAAAATTATATATAATGTAAATTGGATATTTGTCCGTAGAAATGAATGAATAAATAAATAAATAAATATTAGAAAAAATAATATTTTAGAAATTTAAACAAATATCTACTGTAAGAAATTAGAACTTCATAAAAAAAATTTTTTAATTAAATATCTTCACAAATTACATTATTACAAAGTAAAATCATCTCTAAAAAAATTCTTTTTTAATCACATAGACCAAAATATACTTTGCTAAACCATGTTTTTGCGAGGATTTCAAATCTGTAATTAGATTTCATCCATCGTCTCTTTTTTTGAGAGTATTACTAATTTATAACAACAAAATAGATTATAATATGTTAAAAATAATCCATGTAAAATTTCGTCTGAAAATATCTTGTTTAACCTATTTTTTGGACCTTTAAAGTTGATTTTTATGAAAGTTTATAGTTTATAAATGTTGAACACTTAACCTTTTTTTTAGTTCAATTGGCAAGTATGAATTTGATATCATTAAATATAAAATTTTAAAAAAGATTTTAAAAGAAGTTTTGTTTAAATTGATATATGGTCAAGAACTTATATAATAACTATCAACAGTAAGTTTATGAAAAAAAGCACAAAATTTCTTTTAAATCATATATATTTTTTGTTTATATCGTAATAAATTATTTGAATAGAAATATTAATCAATTCTATGTAACTCTTGGTGTTTAAATAGATTATACAATTGAAATATGTGGCCATCATTAAATTACGTCACACGTTAATGAGGGAGGCTATCATCGTAAAGAGTCTAAGTGTGACAAGTCGCGAGGGGGGTCAAAAGCTTTGTGACATGTTAAAATGTAAATTACATTATTGACTTTATGTTGATTATATTAAAGATTGTTTAACAAAAATAAGAAAAAGAGGAAAATAACAGTTTTTTTTTTTATTATGTTTAAATACATGCATAAATTTTAAAAAGGTGTAATGTAACATCATAGGAAGGGGGTTTTAAAAATGTGACAACCTATAACAAGTTCTAAAATTTGTGTGACGTAATTTATGGATGGCCCATAATCATAATTATATTTTTTATAGTTGTATCCTAAAGTTTTTAACTAATTAGCAATAGTATAAAAAATTAGTGATGATGGAAAAAATGCAGATTTTAAATCATAGTGAAAAAATTCTTAAGAAAAGTATATTTTTGACTTGGATAAAAATTCCTTATAGACCATTTATTCATTATTAACAATTTTATATACGTTTGCCAATGAATAAGCTGTTTTATAATTTTTTAGCATAGAAATCTCGATACTAAATTATTAAATATCAATTTAATATTTAATTACTATTTATTAATAATAGATATTTATTCATATATTTTACTTATAAAAAATAGAAGGACTAATTAGGAATAATGAAAGAAGTTGATGTTGCTTTTGTAATAATCCACTAATCTCTTA